GATTCTTCGTCCGAACAGGCAATGTTAGTCAATTCCTCCAACAGTCCATCGTTTATATAACTCGATTTTGTTGTTGTTATGGCGGAGGCCGCTGACCAGCCAAATAATTCGACTGTCAAACGTACAGGGCGGGTTTGTGCACGATAGAGATATTTACAGCCTTGGAAAATTTTGCTTCCATCAAACAAATATCATGATAAACCTGTATCCTCCCGCACAATAGTAGCTTGGTATGTCCTAAGTATCAAGGAATCAATAACTTTTTAAAATATATTTTCTAAATATAGAAATGTTTCTATATTTAGAAAAATTACATTTAGTCTGTTTCATTCGTGACAGACTAAAATAGAGATTTTCATTAAAATAGAGATTACATTTTTAAGGATTGGAACAATTTACCCAATTCTATTTGAGAAAACGATTTCCTTATAACTTTTAAACATATCAAGAACTTTGGATTATAGTAGTGACTTATTTTACTTTTTACATCGTAATTTCCTATAGTACATATACTTCAGAAAGATATATAATAACGTATTACTATTAGCTATATTGTAATTTATTTGCAGAACCTCCCTGAAAACCACGTATGTGATGGAAGCTGTTAAAATATTATTTTAATAATAATAATAAAGTTTTGCATATATATATATATATATATATATATATATATATATATATATATATATATATATATATATATATATATACTTCTAATTCGCTGCAGATTTCTTTCAGCATTTTGACATTGAATTGTTTCAATTCGTTACGTTGGCGTAATTCACAAGTTACTTATATATTAACGCAACACGCAAGCAAGTTTATATGAAAGCAAGTTAATATCAAAACCGTGAAATTATACATTTTTATTTCAGCTGCATGTGTTTTCACAAAAATTAAAAAGTCAAAAATCCAGTGGCGGCGCCAGGGGGGGGGGCAAGGGGGGCAAATGCCCCCCCCAATTATTTTTTGCCCCCCATTTTGCCCCCCCCCCCTCAAAAAAAAATATTAGTCACTAAGAGCGACTAAAGGCTACACAAGCGTTCTGTCGTTATCGGAAAATGTATGGCTTATAAGTTGTCATTACTCATTAGTGAATGTGCATATACATGAAACTGTTTTTTACAGTTTCAATATTAGTTTGTAAATCTCTGAATGGTAAAACTTGCCAATACTCCAATAATACGTTTCAAAAAAAGACAAAAAAGCTTTAGTTTTGCAGAGTTAAATTCTCAAACGTGTAAGGCAATAATAAGATGAAAGTATCACGAAATTATTTTAATAAACCACATCGCATATATGGGGGGCGAATGTCCTAAAGAGGGGCGATATTCCTAGGGTATTCGCCCCACCCCCCTGGGAGGCGATATTCCTAGGATATTCGCCCCCGGGGGCGATATTCCTAGGAATATCGCCACGTTTTGAGGGAGGGGGCGAATTTCCTGGGGGGGCGACCTTTTTAAAAATTCTATCTTGCCCCCCCAAAATTTGAGTTTGCCCCTCAAATGCCCCCCCCCCCAAATTTGGAAGCCTGGCGCCGCCACTGCAAAAATCGCCTGTGGAAATAGTCTCGCGGTAAATTTTCGGTGTGAAAGCAAACAATTCTCGACATGTTGCACGTGTTTTGACAGCTGAATTATTTAGCTGGTCAGCGGCTTCCGCCATAACAATAACAAAACGAGTAAAACTAGGAGTTACTATCGCAAGGAAAATGCTGCCGATATGTACATGTAGGATGTGCTACAAAAAGAGCGTTTTTCACTGTATGTATGATTTATTGTCTTACACATCGTCGTTCCTCAGTTACCTTCGTACAATTATATCTTACATCTAATCTTATGAAAAGTATATTTTAATATACTTAACAGTGTGACTTTGATAGTTGACACATAATATAAATGATAAAATGTGAATATTATTGAATGATTTTGTCACTCGTACAACTTTTAATTTGGCTATTCAAACAATTGATTTAAAATAGTTGAATTTATACTTACTGGGATGTTATTGCTTATTGGGATGTTGAAATTATGTTTGTTTTAAATACATTTAATTGATATTCCATAAATTCATTTTGTATGATTTCATTGACCTTGACGTTGTTCAAAATCATTTTGTATTGTATTGAAACTGTATGTCTATGACCTATGTTATGTACTATATTAACCCATTGAGTCGCATTGCATCCTGATGCACCCTACTTTGAACAGTATTTTACTCTGTCTAACACCAGACGATTTTACTCGTCAAGGGGAGAGTGCTGGCGCTTAATGGGTTAACTGATCTATCTGCCCATGTGTCTAGTTAACCGATTGGGTCGCATTGCTCCCTAATGCACCCTACTTTGAACAGTATTTTACTCTGTCTAACGCCAGACGATTTTACTCGTCAAGGGGAGAGTGCTGGCGCTTAATGGGTTAACTGATCTATCTGCCCATGTGTCTAGTTAACCCATTGGGTCGCATTGCACCCTGATGTACCCTACTTTAGTATTTTACTCTGTCTAACGCCAGAGTATTTTACTCTGTCTAACGCCAGACGATTTTACTCGTCAAGGGGAGAGCGCTGGCGCTTAATGGGTTAACACGCCCAAAATCCGTACTAAAACTGCTAATTCTGTTTTGTGATTGGCACAGTTTAATCAAAGAATCCTCCCGTTGAACCAGAGCCTTCACAATATTTCAATTTATTATTAACTGAAGGCTCTGGAATCCAGGATAGCTTGCCATTGAATACAGTGCAATGCTTATATTTCTGAATGAATAAGATCATACCCAGAACAGTCAGAACTGCAAAACTATATTGTTAGAAAGAAGTTGAAGTTGTGAGCATTATTGTGGTAACACAGCCATATGTATATATCAATGTATGTCAGTAGAATCATGTTTATAGGTTTTATATATAACTGAGGCCTTATACAAGTCATATCTTATACAAAAGTCAGTTGATATGCTATATTACATGTAATTGCTGATAAGTCCATATATGCAGACAACAATCCACACTGGGTAGCTCTAGGAATCTTGTTAAGCCTGATTTAACAACATCCCGCGTTTGTTTTTAAACTATAAACATTTAGAAATAGAACGTACTGAACACTATTATATACTCACCGCCTTTGGCTTTGCACATATTAAGTGACATAACAAACAAATAAACTAAAAGTTCATTTGCTTCTTGTATCAGCATAAAGGCATTAATCATTACTGTGGATTTGGTCGTGAATAGATCAGTGATTCAGTGGGTATTATAATTGCCGATATATTCTTGAAATCATATTGTTTCAATGCCTCTATATCGAAGTTTAATACACTAAAGTGACTAAACAAGTATAAACAGCAGATTTAAATATAAATGCCTTCATGTATTATAAAATATATCACCAGACAGGTAAACAGGGCACACGGCACGACTACATCACTATACGAGAACGAAATAAAGCCATCCTTACCTGAATTATTCAAAATATTGTCGATCATTCTTGCGCCAGAGACACAAAATAACACCGTGCTTTATTTAGCCATTCATCTTCACAAATATTACTCGGAATTTTTATGGAAATTCGCATTATTTTATGATTTTTATATTTCTGTCCGTTTATAACAGTCGCCATGTTGTGAACAAACCCCCCGGGAACAAAAAAATAATATCAAAACAGCTAGTTTTGGCCCGTCCGTGGATGACAAAATCAGACATAAATCGAGATTGTAGCGGCTATAAACTCGGCGGTCACGTGGTAAGCACACCACGTGTAGAGATTAGTGTGCTGCCTCGCTACGCTCGGCAGCAATTAAACGATGGAGGAATTGACTAGCATTGCCTGTTGACGAAGAATCACGATTTATATACGAGACTGTGTCTACAATAATCATTAAGATATCGAAAGTGATTAACACTAAAGAATAATGGAAGCTAACGAACGTCAAATAATAAGTCAACTGACAATCGGGGTCATTGAATGACAAGGCTATGATCGAGGCATACTTTGTATCAATTATATTGGGGTAGGTTTTCTCTTGACTTTTTAAATAAATCTTCAACATAAATCGATGTTTGATAATTTGTTTACTAACGGACGTCTTTACATGATGCAAATGTATAACTTGTCTGATTATATTCAGCTAGAAAATGATTATTTTTTATACAATACGGTCCATTACGTCCATAAATAACGGAAATGCCTGTGTCAGTGCTTTTCCCTAAAAGACTTTAGACAACAGTAAAGGTCAAACGAATGTTCATCACTGTTCTAGGTCTAATAATATGTAGAATTTTGCTCTTTCAAAGCAGAGTTTACAGTAAACATGAACGTTCTTATTTGCTCCAAACTGCCGAAAGTCGAAAATGTTGATGTTTTGTTGGCCTTAAGTACCTCCAAAATTTACAGGCCGCAATATTTTATTTTATATTATGTAAGACCAACCCTTAATCTCACCATACAAATAATATTACATTCATAGCAAGTCTAACTTTTGAATTTTAGGGGTTTTATTTCACCCATTTTTAAGGAACTTGGAAATTTCTATTTTAGTCTATCATGAATGATGTCATTTCTATATTTAGAAAACAAATTTGAAAAATTTATAGATACCTTGTTACTTAAGACATATAAAGCTACAATTGTCTGGAAAGATTTAGTTTTATGATTATTTTTGTTTGATGTACAGAGGTTTAAAAATCAGCAAAAATCCACTATTGAGAACAGCAAGAATCGTAATTTTAGCCCTCAACTTGACCCCCCTGGAACTTTGCCAAAATGCAATTAGACTGAAAACAAAATGCATTTTGAAACAACCCTTATAAAGGCAATCTCAACTACAAAGTTTGAGAGAAATCTATTTGTTGATCCAAAGAGGTCATGAGGTTCTTACAGAGACTGCCTCTTAATACAACATATAAGCATAACTGATCCCTGGTGGAAAAATCCTTCGTACGGCCCTAGTGCGGCTGTACCGGTGCTTTTAAAAACTGGTAAATAAGAGCTGTATTTACAATAATTCCTAATTATCATCACTTGTTGCGTATTTCTCAAATGCATTGGTTGGACGGACTTTAGCACGACTATCTGTTGTCACGTTTGCCGTATACCATTGGACTTGTGTGTGCATGAACAGGTCATGTTGATGTGAACGCTTGTGATCTCGCAGTCTGTTGGAGCGGATGAAACCTCGTCCACAGACGTCACAAACATGAGGTTTAACGTCACGATGGATATGCATGTGTTGTTTCAGGTTACCTTGGTGACCAAAACATCGACCACAGACGTCACATTGAAATGGTTTTTCTCCAGTGTGTATTCTTTCGTGGTTGTTGTAAGCACTGCGACATACGAAGAATTTCTTACAGTAGAAACATTGCCATTTTCGCTTACGAGAGCAGGAATGCTCGATCTAGAAAGTAAACAACTATCTAATTAGGTTAGAATTAAATTAGGGCAACTCACACTAGAGCTATGTGCAATATTTCGTAAGCAAATTACCCCTCTATTACAAAATGGCGGCGAGTAGTGTTGTGGCTGCCGGATACGCATGCGTATACGTATAACATTGCAATCTGTTTATTTTGCATGTGCGCACACTGGCAGGAGATTCCAAAACAAACTTTTGTGCCAAACATTCATTATTCAACATGTGATTTCGTGGGGGCACAAGGGGGATCGACTGGGGGCATTTGCACCCCCACCCCCCAGCTTGTATGTTAGAATGGCCCTGGATCTGGTAAGTGCTTTTATAAACAAATGAGTATGATTGTGTAAAGGCTGCTTTAGCAGATGTTTAACCGAAATGTCTAGATGTCGGAAACTATATTTAGCTTTTTTGTCATCATGCGAGTATACTCGCGGACAGTCGGACAGCTCCGGAATATACCGTTGAGAATGTTTACATAGCGAGGATTCGGGAAAGAACACAGCGAAGCATGAGATTTTTGTCAATAAAACTATAGAAATACACAGTGTTTGTAATTTTAATTTATGTTGGGAATCAACGGGAGGCAATTCTCAACAACTGGCACCTCCGTGATGGGATTTGTGAGATTTTAAGCTCGAACAAGAGCAAGAACCTAGCATATTTATCGAGTGACAAATCGAAACTAAACGACAGCGTACAAACTACAGTGATATACTGCCGCTATTTATCGAGTGATTTATTATATATAACTAAACAAACGAAGTGAAAGAAAAGCATGGAGACAAAACTACAAGAGCTTGATGGGAAACTACGAACATTAA